ATTTTCAGTAATTTTCACTTTGTGAAGTTAAATTACATCGAATCGAGCTGGGAGATGTCTCATTCGAAAGAGCGTGAAAAACTGCATCGATCCATATATTTCAAGTCTTTTTAATATACTTAGTTTTTTATAAAAAAAAAGTTTTTTGAGTATTTCCTTCTTTTTACAACCGTTTGAAAACCAACTAACAATTTGATTACGGGTATTTATAGAGCATTTAATTCTGTACAAGATGAACAATGTTGGGTATTTGTAAAACAACCGAACATCCACAAACACCCACAAACCGAGAGCCGATACTACCAGTAGATAGAGCTTGTCGAATTGACTCCACGAACACCCAAAATAGCTGAGCATCAGAAAAATGTTCTCATCCACACTGATTTTTTCAATCCACGAACACCCATATCTTTTGCCTATTAGTATATCTACTCGAGTTAGGTACATAGCCAAAAGATTAGGCTTTTATAAGTTTGCATAAGAAAAATAACAGATGTATGGTTTCTCAATGAACTGGGGACGTTTGGTGTTGTTATCGGCTCCCATAGAAAACATGATCAGTTTTTCATGAAAATTTCAGCAATTATAGGGCTCATCGTCAGTAGTCACTCCTATAAATTTCAGCTTGATTCGTCAATCTTTTGCCCTACTTTGGTAGTCTACCAGATTAGCCCCTAAGTAACCTATATTAGTGAGCTTGTATACCTTCGAACTCCACTATACGATTCAGAACTGAAGCCATTTTTTCAGCATCAATGCTAATTATTAAGAGCTTCAAAAATATCCGAACAAGTGCTCTCAAAAAAACCCATCTTCGAGTCTCTTTCTATAGCATATTGTCGTTCATATGGCTAAAAGTATGTAAGAATTGGTATTTGATATCTATGATGCCAATCATGTCGGAGACAAATAAAATAATTTGCTAAGTGGATATTTCATGGGAAATTATATAGAATTATACTGTTTAATTTATTATAGTTTAAGTACAGTATAGTAGACTCGAACTTTGTTTTAAGGCGCTGTAGCTTAGTCTTTTCTTGAAATATTCACGTATATTTTGATAGAGTTTTACGATAACGGAGCAGTTTCTCATTGTTGATAATGTGTGTTTTTAGATGTATTCCTCGGTAGATCTATGCTTATAGTTAGTTGGACATTTTGGTTATCTAAATTCAAACATAATGAAATTCCGAGACGCCTCTATGACTTTGTTTATCGATTCTTGTGTTCGTCAAGGATATAAAGAATTTTTGATGCGCATAGTTATTGTTGTCCGTGATCTCAATAGAACAGTAATATCTACACGTATTGCTTATCTATTCAAAGATATTATACAAACAGTTTCTTACACTTTCTCTTCGCTCCTTCCCTGTATTATAAGTCATCGGAGCAGAGCTTTGAAATGTTACGTGTCATATTGTTAATCTAACTCATGAGTTGGTGCTAAAAGTATTGTATCAGTATATGCGGCCTTATTAAAGTAAAATCTACATTGACTAATATTTCAATACCATGCACACAACACTATCGTTTTGTAGCTACATACGGGGCCATTTTTGTAGCTCTTAATAATTAGTATTGATGCTGAAAAAATGCCTTCAGTTCTGAATCGTATAGTGGAGTTCGAAGGTACACAAGCTCACTAATATAGGTTACTTAGAGACTAATCAGGTGGACTACCAAAGTAGGGCAAAAGATTGACGAATCAAGCTGAAATTTATAGGAATGACTACTGACTATGAGCCCTATAATTGCTGAAATTTTCATGAAAAACTGATCATGTTTTTCTATGGGAGCCGATAACAACACCAAACGTCCCCCGTTCATTGAGAGACCATACATCTGTTATTTTTCTTATGCAAACTTATAAAAGCCTAATCTTTTGGCTATGTACCTAACTCGAGTAGGTCTACTAATAGGCAAAAGATATGGGTGTTCGTGGATTGAAAAAATCAGTGTGGATGAGAAAATTTTTCTAATGCTCAGCTATTTTGGGTGTTCGTGGAGTCAATTCGACGAGCTCTATCTACTGGTAGTATCAGCTCTCGGTTTGGGGGTGTTCGCTTGTTTTACAAATACCCGGCAGCCGAATGGAGATTGAAAACCACTTTAATATCTATCTCATACTTTAATGAAGGGTTAGGATTCCGAAAGGTAAATATAGGACTGGAAAATTCCTTTTAGGCTTATCGAAGCCAATTAAAGAATTGGTATTTACCGGTACAAATATAACCGATAATAAAATGAAAATGATTTGATTATTCTTTCAACGAAATTCTTTTTCGAAAATGAGTTGCACGAATACAAAAAGAGTGAACACGAAAAAGATATGATGAATATGGTTGAAAGTACAACAAACAGAATCTGTGTTCGAAACAAGGACATACTTTTGTCAGAAATCAAAGTTAAACATCGTCGCTGCTTCACAAATTTCTTTCTCAAAACAAAATAGATGATTAGGTTACTGAATTTGCCATTCTACTTTCTCTTGAAGTAATCATCTCCTTCAACCCTTCTCTCTTCGTTGTTGTGATGGGATGATTAACAGTGACTGAAAAGCTTTTGGACTATTTTTATATCACAACTAATTATAAGCTGCATTATTCAATGAGCACTTATTGCCTTCGCTTAATACAGTGAAATGAAGATAAACGGAAGATTTGAAAAATCTTTTTAATTATAAATGTAATCCGTTCAATACTTAAGAAGAAATCATAAATAAATCGCTACTCTATACAGACTATCAATCGATTATCTCATTTCACCCTACATTATTTCAAGACTCACCAAATTCAAATTTTAGAAATCAGTAGTTGCTTGTAAAAAATCAGGAGTTTATCAGGCGAATTGTTTTTCTAAATCAGGAGAAAAATCAGGAAATTTTGCTTCGAATTTTAAGAGTCATTCGATGGTTTTTCTTAGATAAGATCCAGTTTTTAGTTTCTATTCACATTTGTCTCTATTCAAAATCAAAATGAGACTGAAAAAGTTTTCTTATAAATCAATTAAAATTGAACATAGAACGATAATTCCATAAAGTTTATTTCAATTTTAATAGATATTTCAGAATTGATTTTAACTTCAACAACAGAACAAAAGCATGCATTTCCATATCGGTTATTATATATAAAGAGTACTCCATAAGTCTCAGCCCTATTTTTATTTTTGCTCTATTTCTATTGGATTTAAAAATCGATAAGGTTTGGATATATGTACTTGAAAAGTTACATCCACCTTATTATTCAACAGAAACTGCATCTATCATACATTAATTATAGGAAAATACTACGTTGATAAAAAATGCTGAAACAATTCATCAAAATAATTTTTTATTTTTTTCTATTAGTACTGGAAAAAAGGTTACAAGGATTTATGCTTTTGAAATTAATTGGGTTTAGTTAAACCAACAAATTTATCTGTTGATAGCTTACAGTACACTTTGGCTATACCAAAAGAGAGCCATATCTTCAAGGTTAAGTTCCTATTCTCAGGAACACTTCAGTGAACACTCTTCTCATTCTCGCTCTCAGTCCAGTTCCTCCCCTTTGATGGTACAACGCATGATGGAGTTTATAGAAAAATTACAAACATTTTTTAAAGTTTCCGAAGAAACAACTCTTAGATACTGCTATGCATTGCTACGAACCACAAGAAGCCGCATGCTTCTAAATGGCTAACTAGGTTCCTCTGAAATCTGCAGAGTTCTAATCAAATGAACAGACTCTCAAATTTTTTCTCACATAAGTGGTGTACAACAAGAACGAAAGGACAAAAAGTGACCCGAAGTGAATGAATGAATTTATGGGTGCTATGTTTCTCGGCCGTTATAGAAAAAAAGATAGTTTTGATATATTTATCAACATAATATTTTCCTATGATTAATGTAAATTAGATGCAATTTCTGTCGAATGATAGCTTGGATGTGACTTTTCAAATATTTATATTCAACGCCTGCTCATTCTTAATAAGTCAACCCTATTTTTCTTTTCAGCATTAATGTATAGAATTACACTGATTTCATAGTTCAATAGAGGTCAGCAAAACCTTCAAATTGATATGTCATATTACTATTTTTTACATTCAAACATCTCTTCAATCTTCTTTTCTGTGATGTAGTGACATTCGACATTGGAATTTTCCTTTCGTTCTATTTTGCGCGTCTATTAGACTGTCCTATGTTTTTCATCTTCGCCTTTTCTTTTCTATGATATATACCTTTCGTTCTGTGGGATAGGCCATCATGTCAGAATTCTTTGTATTCTCATAAAAACATATTTTGTTTTCTTTAAAATACGAAATACAAATAAAAAAAACAGATTTTTCAATTTTTCGAAAAGAATTCGAGACTTAAAAGGTTAATTTCTTTTATCCCACTATATACGTTAATGTTTTTTATTTCTTTTCAGTCACTGTGTGAAAGTCTGAAACATTTCTTACCCAAAATAATAACAAAAGAATATATTTATTTGATGCAGAGAATACTACTTTGTAAATAATTTCTTTATTTCCTTTTTCTAAAGCAAACTTTTTAGAACACAAAAAAGAAGCTTCATACGTATTATAAGACTAATTTTTCTAAGGCGTAAATTAATACTAATGAATAAATGCTTAAAAGTTAACATAAGCATATTCACATCATTTAGAATAAGAATGAATATAATTCTATGTAAATTAATCTATTTTTATTCATATTTTATTTTAATAATAATTGACAATATTCAAAAAATTTGCGCATGAAGAAAATAGTCTTTGAAATGATCAGGAAACTTTGATTTCTGGAGAAAAATTACAGAATTCATTTTCGCACAATTACTTCGTGCTGTGATTCTTCGAAAACTGCGTGTCACTTTTTTCACTAGTCGATAATTCATACTAACACGAACATTATTTCGTAAACATGTTTTATTATCAAATAAAAATTGTTCGTAATAATCTTTGTGAGCTTCAGAAATATTAAGTTTCAAAAGATAAGGATATTGAATGATTGATAAATTTTGATTTTAATTTTTTGATTTTCTTAATTGTTTATTATTTTGTGGTTTTTGATTAACTAAAGTTAGTTTTTCCAAGAATGGAAATGATTGAGAAATTTGAAAAAAAAATTCATGTTCAAATGAACGTTCATCAAATAATGATATTTCACGAACGTATTCAAATATTCCACCTGGAAAATTATTTGTTATATTATTGTAATATATCGATTGATATGGATATGAATAAATATGACATTGACTATATTCTTTTTCTTTGAAATAATCAACAGAAGAAATGATTTGTTTATTTTTAAAATCTTTGAATGTTTCTTGAATATATTCATTAGATGGTAGATTAAATTTAGTATAAAAATGAGTTGATGAATGAATATTAAATGTAAATTTGTTTAACAATGGCATATAATTTATAATATTCAACTTCAAATTATTACCATCAATAAGTGTTTTCTTTGTCCAAACTATACGAGCCAAAACAAGTTTCTCTAAATTCGACATTCAATGTAAAAGTGGTAAAATTAATCCATCATAAAAATCTGTATCGCAATCACAATGTAGTTTAAACGATTTTAGATTAGGCAGTTTTTCCTAAAAATGAGAACAAATCTAATTCATTTAAAGCGATTAAAGATTAAGCAAAATATTGTACCTTATTATTGATTATTGAAAGCGAAGAAGTAATGAATTCAATATTAACATGAAACATATGAAGTTGATTGAAACGTCCGTCAAGTAAATAAAAGCAATCGCTAAATTTAACCACATCAACATATAATTCTAACAGAGTCGAAGAAATAACAGTTGGAGGTGATATGTTAAAGGATAAATATTGATACAAAATTGAAGATGGACCAATATTTAATATTTGTAAATGTATTAAATATATGAGTAAATAAAACTATATTTTCATTTCGTGTTGGATTTTCTTCTCCACTTGCTTTAATATCGATAACAAGTGATGAAATTTGTTTTTTGTAGGTAGAAGTGAAAAGACGATCATCTAAAGCAGAAAAAAAATGAGAAAAATTATTGAAAATGTTTTATTAAAGCTTATATTTTTCTTTAACTTTAAGTATTTATTTTTTTTGTAATAACACTGAAATTTACATTTGTGATGATCTTGTTCTTTTTAAAACTAGTCAACAAAGTACATTTTGTCATAGATGTTATCTTTTATCATATTCATCAATCCTCATCATCTATTTTATTATATATTTTCTTTCTCACAAATGTATGCTTAAAAGTTTAATTTGAAGACATAATATCAAGCTTATTTTAATATTTTTTTTTTCTTGGAAGATTTCTATTCTATTCTATGTAAAATACTCTCTTTGATAATAGTTATAAATTAATTCAAATGAATTCATTTGACATATAGTTATAATGTATTTATCAGCGCGAAAGAATCGCAGGCAAATATCTTACCAGAAAATAGATGTACAGCATTTTCTAAGTAAATATTATACAAACCAATTCCAACTAAATTAGGATAGTTTGTAGAAAGAAGAATACGTTCCATCGATGACGATTCAATATCAAGCCATTTGACTTTTTGATGAATTTTAGATAAGATATGTGAACAAAAACGATCAAGTACTAAATCAGATAATGGATAAGCAAAATATAGTGAAGAATACATTTGCAAAATCAAACAACTTGGTTCAAAATTTAGCAAAGTCAAACGATTGGTAAAAATAGAGTCATGTACTATTTTATTTAAACGTATATTAACATCTGATAAAAAATAAAGTAGTGTAATATTATGTAATTTCTTAAAAATCATCATAAGAATTTCATCAGGTAAATCATTCAATTGAACAGATGAATTTTCTGTGTTTATCTTCACTTGTCTATTCTTTTTCATCTATAAATGTCGATATTTATAGACATAATCATATGTTCTATTTGACCGATGTCGTCAATAACAACAATCATTTTTTTTTCTATACTCTTAGAAGCCAAATAGATTAGACGAAATAAAACTGAATTAAGGAACGTGATTGATGTTTTTTTTACGTAGCAACCCTAATCACATTCCTTAATTCAGTTTTTTTTATTTCGTCTAGTCTGTTTAGGGCCTTAATGAACAATGAATACATTTATAGCTAATAGAAGGATTTTGTTTTCGTTGTTTGTTCAACGTATATGATTTAAAAACAATGAAGAGACATATCAAAGAAAATGCATTATATTATGGAAAATCTTTGTTTTTTTTCTCATTATTAAAATTTTTCAATTGGAAAGCGATTTTAAAATCTTGGCAAACATTCAATCCATAAATCATATTTCACAGTATATATCGATCAGAAAACAACTATCTCAGTCTTTGCAAAAATGTCAAACGCTGTTGTCCCATATTGCCGACTTCTAAATCAAGAACATTTTTTTTGTTAGAAAAAGCAATGTCTAAACTACAAACTTTGTACTAGACATATTTTTCCAGAACGAATATGATGAGAAGGAAATGGTTAATACTGATTTTAGTAGCGTAAAAAGTGCTCTTTTCAATGGTGTGCCGGAAGGTAAATTTACTCTTGGTTTTTATATCCAAATATAGCTTTTTTCTAAAAAAGACGGTATGAGTTAGTTGTTCTTATTACCTAGGCTGACAAGAGTTTCAGAAAATGCGTTTAAACACCATAAAAATTGTTATTTTTGAGCGTTTAAACGCGTGTCCGGTAAAATGATGGTGAAAATCGCTAAAAAGAGTAAACTTTAAGCGCTTGTACGTACATATTTTACATTTCCATTGTTTGTACCCGTTTACACGAGTATTCGGGAACTTTTTTTGCTCAGAGATTAGTGAGAATGTCATGAAAAACGTTGGATGTTGGAAAACTGATTGTTTTCAGGTCTTCTTTTTTTGGGGTCGTATTTGGCTGACCGTTAGGAACTGCGATTGGCATCCAAGAACAGACACTTTTTTTGTGCGTTTACACGTGGTTTCAGAAATTTTTTGTCTGTTCGGGCATCTGACCGTTTTGCAACAGTAAAAAAAAAAAATTTTTTTTGAATTATTTTCTCTGTTAAATTTCCATAACCTGAAATATTTCGAATACATAACTCAAAAAGAATTTAGTTCATCAATAGTTTCTGTAAATGGTGACTGACATTCTTACAAACTGATATTTCTTGGAAAAGATTGTATTTTATAAAAATTTCATTTTTAAAACTTTTTTTAATTAAAAAGTCAGGAACAAATCTAACAAATTTTGCCAAAATTGATATTGATAGAGTTTTTGATGCGCTACATTAAGATTATGTAGCTTAAAATAATTCAAAAATACAGACTTTTCAAATTGGAAAAACGTTGGAAGAATTTTTTTTAGAGCTGTTTGGCTTTGAGTTGTTCTTTCTGGTCAGGTTCCTTTTGGAAGATACTAAATTTGTAATTCAAACATTACTTTTTTCTAATAAAAAAAAACCATTTTCTTCGTTTAGAAGTCAGCAATATCATATGACAGGGTTTAACATTTTTGCAAAGACTTTTGCATCGCATGTTATGGGAATTACAATGTCCGTAAAACGTATTCATTTAATACTATTTTCTTTTAACTAATATCTAAATCAATTTCTACATACAGGTAACACTGACAGTCAAAATGTAGCGTGATTTCAGTCATTGCATCAATCAGAATTTGATTAATGAACAATTTCCTCCTTTTGTTCTACTCTTCAAATTTTTGCATTACATCTTTTGTTTTTCAACTGAATAACTACGCAAAATGATGTTATTATACAATAATTGTATTCTCCAATACAGCATGTTTCATAGTACATTGAGTTGAGATGAAATATATTAAAGAATATTATTCGATCTATTGTAAACATTTTGGAAAATAATAACTCACCACGTAGATTTTATTAGATGTGAGCGATGTAAAAATAAAATGATGTATGTGTCATTCATCGATAATAAATTAATTTAAACACCAACAATTTTAGTTTGCGTGCAATATAGGTCACATTGTCATGTTTTTCTTTATAAAATACAAACAATAAGACAGAATTTTTTCATCAGGGTATACATCTTTTTCATTATTCATTAATATTAATAATAATAATAAAGGAACAAAACATTCTATATAGCTATTATTTAATATTTCAAAGCTCTATATATGATTATTTTTTTTTAGATAAAAAGAAAAATAAAAAAAGAAGAAATAAATAATAATCTTATACATGAACTATTCTTTTTATTTCCAATATTTTATTGATCGACTGGAGGATTGTTAGCATTCATTGCATCACCAGTTATATTGCTTTCATTCGAAAAACCTGATTTATAATTTCCTTTGATTTTGAATAATTGCATATAATGAGTTTTGCAATAGATTTTACCATCATTTGCTGTGAAATTACCCGGTCTATAAATAGAAGAAAAAAAAAACATATGACGATATTCATATGAAAAGAAAATCAAAGTATAATTTTCTCAAGTTTAAAAACTAACTTGAGAACAGATTTACAATGTTCACATCGAAAACATGGTTTATGATATGCTTTACTATTAACCATTATTTTTTCCGTTGCATATACAGTTTTTCCACAGACAGCACATTTTGGATCCATTTTAAAAACAAATATGTAGAAGAAAAACAAAAGTTCTACGCAATTGAATACAGATTGTTTTCTGTTCGTTGGTCTTTTTTGTTTGTAATTATATATATATTTGTCTTTCCTTCGTTGAAAAGAATGGATTGTACACAACAAACAACCACGAAGTCTACAGTGGATTATCAATAGATGCGAAGAATTCCTTGAAGTGTTCTGTTACTAGCATTTCTGTCGTGGCCTTTTTTTTTTCTCATCAACGAGATCTATTAGTATTAAAGATATTCTTTGCTTTCGCATATATGTTTCCGATGATAGATATATAGAGCCAATGACTGGTTATCAAAATTTCAGAATTAGTAATCGATAGATAGAGCAAAAAGCCGAGAATATGAAAATTAGCAAAATTATTTTTTAGCAAAAAGAAAATCATTACAAGGGAAAAATAAAGATATCTCGATATATATATATATATCTGTTTTTAAATATTTAACATATCATCGATTTATTTTTCTGGAAATGTATATTTATAATTTTGTATTATACTAGAATTTAAATTTAGTTCGATGTAGATCATATTATTTTTAATTGTTCTTTGATCACTTAATCTATATTAAATAATAGAAAGAGTAATGTATAAAATGATACAAAAACTAAGTGTCTTTTTTTTTTATTCGACATTATGATGAATAGATGATAAGACATTGATACAAAGAATGATGATTATATTTATGTGTCAATCAGTAAATGTTAACCATTTTTTAATGGAAATGCTAAACAAATAATCAATAAGATGAGCATAACAAATGGTTTGTTTGATAATGATCAGTCATGCATAGATATCAATTTATTTTGAAGCCTCATGGAAAAACTCGACGTGAATAATAACATCATTATATTTATTATTAATAGATTTCAAGAAATATTACAAAAAATTATTAAGACACAAAGATCGAATTGCAAAGTCGAATAATAACAGCAGCTACATTACTCGTTAGTAATGAATAGATCTCATAAGAAGCGAATAAAAAAAAACATAATTTTACCAGAAAAATACCACTTGTCTCTTCAACAACGTGTCCCTTGACGAGAATCGATCTATATTTGGAAAGAAATTATTTTAAAAAAAATGATGAAATAATTCAATGTTTTTGTTTTTTCTTTCTTCCTCCCTGTATCTCCTTATTAATAAATACTTTTTTTTAATTCTCAAAAGCCTTGTAAACGTCGCTGAAAATTTCTCTTTGTTTTGACTATGACTAGATTATCTAGGCATAAAAGCATTTTTACGCATTTGTGAGGATTATATTCATATATACATATATATATATATATGTAAAATACTAAATCTAACCTTGCTATTGCTCTTGTTAATTTATAATCAAAGAAGAACTCTGTTGAAAACAGCATGTGAAGAAGGACTCCTTACTGATGATGGTTGTATTATATGAAGTTTTAATAATAACCGAGTCCATAAAATTTGAAAAGAATTTTCTTGATAAAAATTTGCATAAAGTAACACTAAAATAACAGTCACCATAAATATAAGACCACCAATATACCACGAATCAAATGGATTTTCTACATAATATTTTTGAATACTTTGAATTGTTGTTGTTGTTATTATAAATGTTTCATTATTAAATATATCTGATGTATTCATTTGATAAATAAATGTCTTTTTTTTAATATTACGTAAAATAAGATAAAAGAACAAATCGATTTCGATATAGTGTAATTCTTAATAGTTGTCGAGAAAACGAATGCAAAGAGAAGAAAAAAATGACAACGAGTTGCTATCATGCTTATGTATTCTTTGTCTCTCTTTTTCTCTATTCTCGTTCTTTATTCGCATTGACTATAAATGTAGTACCGTAGAATAGGTCAGATAAGCGTATGAATTTTTCCGGAAATTCAACTATTTTCTATTGCAATATAAAAAGAAAAAATGTAGAATATTTTCTCTATGTTAATATTCATCATTCTTGTATATATTTATTCGATTGTCTACAAATAAATGAAAAATTTAACTATATATATATATATATGTTATACATCGTCAAAATCTGTAAATATGATCCATAA